CTTGCTAGCTGCGGCGCGCAATCGGATATTTCTATCCAGACCGCGCGCACCTCCTATTCTAGTTCTTCAGCGAGTTCTTATTGTACATACCTAGTCATAGGTTTTCCTACGGTCTAGCCCGTAACACCTATATTCTTTAGCCTAGTAGTATTATATGCCCTAATTCTATATTAATATAAGATATTAAATAGTATAATACTAGTAAAGTAATTATTTAGGTAGATTATATAGTAATTTAACTATAGAGGGAGGTATTTAAGGAGATGTAATACTATAGATCCTTCTTATATACATGTTCCTAAGCTTCCACTGGGTTCCAACCTCTTCCTGATGGTTCTTCTAGAATATTCTATGGTTGAGGGCATGGCCGACAACCACAGCCCAGGCCGTAGCCTGTGACAATAGAACCTATCTATATAAGATCTTTATGCTTAATTACTTTTAGAAGGCTAAGGGCATAGCTTAAGGGTATAAATATCTAGATATAACTATAATTAGCTATAGTATATAGCTTATAGCCTTAATTAATTAGCTTATTGTCACGGGCTAGAAGCCGATTCAACCTATAACCTAGGTTTGGACGGTAAGAAATCGCTAAGAGGTTCTAACTAGGGCCGCAGCGGCCGAACACGAAGAGGGGTGTGCGAGGGAGAAACGGGGTCACGTGACATGGCTGTTCACGACATTACTTAGTACAGAATCACGTGACCTAGCCTGCCTGAGGCAGTTCGCGAGTGCTCAGTGAGCTCGAGCATTCAGCGGGCCTTGCCCGCTACATAAATAGCTTATATCTCTAGAATATATATTAATATTATCTCTCTTATATATACTAGAGAGGCAGGCATCTATATTAATATAAGGCTCTTACAGCTTACTAAGAAAGATAATAGTAAATTCTATACTATAGAGATTTACTATAATCTTATAATAGTAAGTTTTCCTCTCTCTCTCTCTCTTTCAAGTATTGACCATGGTTGGTATTCTATCAGGGCGATCTCACCCTCCACTACCTGCGGTGGCTCCGGGCCGCTTCCAGCGGCGGTAAAGAGGTGATTCTCGAACTGGCCTTCTGGATGGGCCCAACCCTGGGCGTGGCCGATAGCACCGTCCGGACCAACTACGGAGATCGCAGCCACACGGCAGCCACGGACCGGTGGATCGTCATGCACATGCATATCCCGCTCGACGGGGCTACATTCATGGGAGGCAACAACGTCCTGTACGTGGGGGTCCGGAACATGGGCATTTACCACAGCCAGGGCGTCTACCTCCCCGCAGCGGTCACCCGGGGATTCAGGCAGGGGTATCGGGCTGAATTCCGGTATTCAAGCTCCTACGCGGAAGGGGAATATAACAGGGGCTCTCTGCGAGACTACAATTCCCGGACTGATACCATTGCTTGTCCCCGATCGCGCCGTGGCAATTCATCGCGGCGGTGGTATGTTGGTCAGAATCGGGACAGTTCGGTTCCTGGGTCGGCCAATGCGAATGCGGATTATGGCCAGTTGCTGAATGACTTTGTAGGTTCCCTTCCCCTGATCTCTCTCTACATATATGTATCTATGTATGGATATACTAATGACGAATAGGGTGCATGGCTCCACGACCAGGGTACCTTCTCCGTGGACAATCTGGCGTACCTCTGGCCATCGCTGCGAACCATCAGAATTGACAACGGCTTTACTGCAAACATCAATGCGCGCGACAGGTTGGACCCTGAGGATGGCGCGTTTGATCAGAATTGGCGGCCAGATGGAGATGCACCGACGGATCCATGGTTCTATCGTAATATTTGAGTGTTTGGGGGAAAGACTGTATATGAGGATGCATATTTCTATAAGCGTGATATAAACCCCAAGTTAGCGTAGAATTGGGTACTGTATTGGCAGTGTCTTTACAACAGAGATGGAGACTCAAATCCACGGTCGAAACTTATGTAGTGCATGAGTAGTTATATGTCAACCTGATAGACCTTTAGCCTAGTGTTCTACTTTTTTCCATACTCGATTAATTGACAGACTGTAGATATGTATTTGACTTGATATAATCAGCTGCTAGTACTGGGACTTAGTAACTACCACCTTATAGTTAGTGGGGCCGCCCAAGTAATACCTATTAAAGTTATTAAACCCTCTTCTTCCCCTCTTTGTCTTCTTTCTTTCCCTCTCTTTTCTTCCATCTCCTCCTTTCTCACACACACACTCTCTCTTTCCACAAATGAACTACTGATATAAGAAGAAAAACAACACAAAAGAGAAAAAGGAGAATAAATTATCATGGCAGAGAGCAATTCTCCTATCTCGGACCAGTCGGACCTCTCGGACCCCCCGGAATCCCCCTCTCAAATCATCGGCAGGCGCAGAAACCGCCTCGTGAACATCATCAAGCAGAACGACCTCCCTCAACTCCGTCAATTCATCGCCTCATGCTCTCCCGAGGCTGTGATCGCCCCTGGGACACCATACTTGGAGGACACCTTGTTCCATGCAGCCTCGTACGGCAGTCCCGAGGCTCTTCGCATCCTCTTGGAGGTGTACACTGCGGCCCCGGAAGTTGTCAAGAGGTTTAATCCCAAGTTCTGTCTGCTGCTTGACGCATGTGGTGCAGCAAATATTGATGTGGTGCGCTTTATCTTGGACAGCCATGATAGTCCAAAGAATCGGTTACCGCTCGGGACGGTGGATTTGCATCAGAGAGATGACTCTGGAGATACGCCGATCCTCATGGCTGCGGGGTCGCTGATGTATCTTGACAAAGACGCAGAGGAAGTAGAATATGAGGGTCTCAATTGCACTGAGTGGGTTCGGGATCGGATTGCGAGGGGCCATCAGTTGATTCATCTCCTTCTCGACCGGGGCTGTTCGGCGACAGACGTTGTTCCCCCTTTGCCAAATGATCTCTCTCCTTGGGGAAGTCAGGTGCAAGACAGTGTGCTTGGGCTTGCTGTGTCGAGGGCCGATGGTCCATTAGTTCAACGGCTCATTAACTCCGGTGCCGATATCTACCTTAAGCATCAACACTTCCATCATGCCAGGGTACCGTTCCAGCTCAGGACCACAAAGGATCACGCATATGATGTCACGACGCTCCACCTGGCAAGTTTCTTCTACAATCCCGATGCTGTTAAATTGCTCTTGGATCATCAACTTTCCAAGAACAATACCAACCCTGACCTGGCTTCCTCCCGTGACAGTGATGGGCGACTCCCACTGCATTGGGCAGCTAGCGGCCCTGGAGGTTTTAACTGTAGACTCCTGGATAAGCAGCTCAGAATCACAGAGACCCTTCGACTCCTCCTTGACCATGATTCTACTGGTATCAACCTTGTTGACAACACTGGATCCACGCCGCTGCACTATGCTGCTATCTCCCACGCTATGTGCGGTTGTAGCCAGCACGCTGAGCTTGCTATCCGCACTTTACTCGAATATGGGGCTGACCCCCGGATCCCCGATGGCTCTGGCCGTACCATCCTACATCTATTAGGGTACAATTCCCACCAAGGTGACCCCATCACGACCACACTCCTGGATTTAATCCTGTCACACGGTGCCAATATCAACCATGCGGAGAACAACGGCAAAATGGCATTGCACGTCTTTGCTCAGAATCTGCGGCAGGTCTCGCCGGCAAAGTTCTTAATCGAGCACGGGGCGGATTTCCGCGCTCGGAATACTCTCCGGGAGACGCCCTTTCATGCGGCAGCGCGGGGGTTTCTGAATGATCATGTACGCCGTGATGGGAGAGATGAGGAAGTGACAACTGCGAACAAGATCAGGCTTCAGGATGAGATGATGCGTGCTCTGCAGGAGGCTGCCGGGGAGGATTCTGCTATGTTGATGAGCCAGCCAAATGCGGAGGGTAAAACTCCGCAGGACTTACTGGAGGAGACCAGAAATCGGTGGCAAGGAAGGGAGCAGCCCATACCAGGCCCCGGAAGAGGCAGAGGCAGAGGCAGAGGCAGAGGGCAGCCAGTAGGAGCATAAATATAATTGCAGTTCAGGAAGAATATCTCATAAGGGTAGCCATCGTAGCACTTCTGACATATTTTGGAACTATTGGAGTGTATCAGGTCATTATAGTAAAAGACTAATCACAAGTGCTATAAGTGATTTTTCAATCATTTTTCTGGATATCATCCACGAGAAATAGTATCTCATGGTGTAAGAAAGCCTTATTCGTGAAATGAAATGTTTTGTTTTGAGGTAAACTCGTACCTTATTCCGACCGAACAAGAAGGTTTAGGCCAGCGTATAAGGCGTATGGCCAAACCCTATAATAGATAGGGATAGTGGTATCCCGCATATCGCCAAAGAGGAGGGGTGTTATTTATGCTCCCTACCCTGAATCTGAGCGAGTGATGACATAGACGAGGTAAGTATGAGATACAAAGCCGACTTACGTCGATAGTTATATCACGACCAAATAGTATTCCATCAGATCGGTATGGTAGAGAACGGCTCGTTTCTTGTGACTTTGCGAAGCTGGCAGATTCTAGGTACCTCTTTTCATCTTGAAGACCAGGAAGAACTGCATAAGACAGGAGAGAATATGCAGGACTTTCTACATAATCTTTCTCTGTGTACTGTACCTAGAACGATGCAGATATATAAGGTACTGTTCTATCTCTGTCTAGTTCCGTCTTCAAGATCATTGACCAGCCCGTTCTCATTATACTCATATCTCGTTTCACGAGCCTGGCCATTGTCAGCATGAGATGATCTTCCCTGAAGAGACAAGGTAGAAAGTATATAACATACCCAATAACGGTTGAAACCTACACCCTCACACACCTCCGAGTATCCCAATATCATGGGTGGCGCACCAATGGTCATGCTCTTTTTCAAGTCATCCAGAGTCTCTCGGATACTCTTGAGCTTGGCAGCTACAAGCGTCCAAGGGTACGCAACTGCACAGAATCCCAACTGCGCCAGCTCCAGCGCAGAGAGATTCTCCGTCTTCCCCCCTTCAATGATATTCGCAAACACTGGGATACCAATCTCCTCAGAGCAACGCTTCATGGCCTCCCGGTCCGGCAACGCCTCCACAAAGACCGCATCCACACCAATCCGCTTGAACTCCTTCGCACGAGTCATCGCTTCGTCCCAGCCATGGATCAGCGCGTCGGTCCGGGCAAGGACGAAGATATCCTGGCCTTCGTTGCGCGCATCACAAGCGGCTTGAACACGGGCGTACGCTTTACCTCGCGAGACAACAGATTTGCCCTTTGTATGGCCGCAACCTACGTGACTGTCAGCTTAGCCATGACGGGGTATACTGATCCTCCAGTGAAGTTGGGAACCTACGCTTCGGCCACGTCTGATCTTCAATCATAACGCCGGCCGCACCAGCCGCGGCAAAGCACTCAACGGTCCGCTTGACATTCATCGGGCTTCCGTAGCCGGTATCACCATCCGCCATGACGGGGATGCTGGTCACGCGCACTACCTCTTGGATCTTCCTGCACATGTCCTCCATTGCAATATATCCGGTATCGGGTAGTCCAAAGCCACTTGCCACGGCGTACCCAGCGAGGAAGATAATTGGGAACCCTGCCTCTTCGACTAAGCGCGAGGAGAGTCCGTCGTAGCTGCAGGCGTGGGCGATGATCTTGTTGGGGTCGTTGTGAGCTTCGAGCATCATCGTCCGAAGGCGAGAGGCTTGTGCGCTTGGGATTCTCCCGCGGACATTCTCGAGTTTGACGGACATGGAGGTGGTTTCTCCATTAGAAGATGAGGTGGGTTGGTCGGGGGTGGTGAACTTGAACGGGTATGGGACGGTCATTGTGATTGCTTGCTGTGAGTAATTGGGTTTATGTACTAGAAAGAATGAAATAATTATATGTTTGGATCTGTTATCTTCGAGACAATAGACAATCTATTTATGATGTAGACAGTACATTATCTGTCAAATATCGCGGCTATTTGCTGGTTGAGTTGTAGTATGGGGCGGGTAGTTGGCAATATCCGCCCACCCTGTGCGGAGTTCATCAACCACCGAGGATGTAGAATGAAACTGCCGTACATGCGGAAGAGGAGACAGAGTTCAAACGGATATTGCCAATTAGCCGATCTGTTCGCCTCTACCCCGTGGGGAAGAGACCTGGGGATAGAGCATGGGCGTTGATCCATTTGCAGGGATCCAGAAAAGGTGGATCTGGCAATTGTTGAGTTGAAACTTTATCCTCGAGGTGCATGCAATATAAAAAGGACAATCCATGATGATCAGTAAGTTCATAACAATTCTTGCTTCGAACACCAGAAAACTGCAGCATGGACCCCATCAAGGAGACGGGCTCTCGCCACTTGGAAGACGTTCATATCAAAGACATGGAGAAGCAACCTCAGCAAATCCAGGTTGCTCCTTCTGATCAAGCTCATATTCGGAGAATGGTAAGAAGCAAGACCTTTCTCCATTAGCAGCGGCTAAATGTCCCAGTTCGACCGCCGTGTCTTGCCTATTGTGTGCATTCTTTACATCCTGTCGTACTTGGATCGAGGTATCTCTTCATGTTCATCATTACGTACAGAATCTAACACGAGCAGGAAACATCGGGAATGCAAAGACTGCTGGCCTGGAGGCCGACTTGGGCCTGACAGACTCTCAATGGTCGTGGGTCCTCAACGCTTTTTATATCTGCTATGTTCTTTTCGAGTGGACTACAGTGTTTTGGAAACTCCTTCCAGCGCACCTATATGTTGCTGTATTGTGTATCTGGTACGTGTGGACTGCTCTATCCTCAATTCTTGGAACGAACTGAGCAGCAATGTATCAGTTGGGGCGCAGCAGCCATGTGCAGCGGTGCTGTGGATAATCTTGCCGAGCTGATTGTCTGTCGCTGCTTGCTGGGCGTATTTGAGGCTGCCTTTGGTGCTGGGGCGCCATATTTCTTGTCACTCTTCTACCAGCGTCGAGAGCTGGGATTCCGTGTCTCTTTGTTACTGGGTATGTCGCCTGTGGCCAACTGCTTTGCCAGTGTTTTGGCATACGGCCTCACTCATATCAGACATTCAATCGCCTCCTGGAGATACTTGTTTATCATCGGTAAGTGATAGCGTCTCGGGTTGAAAACCGCAGTTCAATTTGACCTAGACAGAGGGTGCACCCACCGTTCTCTTTTCCGGCATCGTCTTCTTCTTCCTCCCCGATTCGCCGGGCACAGCCAAATTCCTGAACGAAACTGAGCGGACTCAAGCCGTCGAGCGACTGCAGACCTTTGACCGTACGGCAAAGAACCGACTCGACCGTAGCCAGGTCTTTAGGGGACTGACCGACTACAAGAACTGGGTGCACACCTTCATCCACTTCTGCTGCAATTTCTCCTTTGCGGGATTGTCCAATTTCCTCCCCACGATCTTGCATGATATGGGATATACCTCCATCAACGCACAGGGTCTAGCTGCACCGCCATACCTCGCTTCCTTCTTTCTATGCATCGTGGCAGCGCTAATCTCCGACCGATACGGCAGACGTGGTCTGATAATTGCCGTTTCAGCGGCGACAGGGATGATCGGATACTTAATCCTTGCCGTGGTGCAAGATGAGTCGAAGACTGGGGTGCGATACCTGGGCGTTTGGCTCGCCACGTGCGGAATTTTCCCGGCCCTAAGCATCAATATCACCTGGTTGCTAAACAATCAGGGTGGGGATTTGAAGAAAGGGGCCGGGATGGCGATTCTGGCTGTATTTGGTCAATGCTCGAGTTTTGTGAGCAGTACTGCGTTTCCGCAAACAGAGGGGTATGCCAATCCTCGATCGGTTTGATAGCAGTGCATTCCTTGCTGATATACTCCTCATAGCCCTTTCTACGTCCGAGGATGTGCCATTGGATGTGCTTTGACCGGGTGCATTGCAGTCTTTGCGCTGGGGCTGTATGCGAAGCTGGTCCATGAGAACAAGGTGCGGGACAGGTTGTATGGCTCCGTGGATGAGAATGTTCGGGTGGACATAACTGGGGATGGCGATAAAAACCCTCAATTCCGCTACTTGGTTTAACGGCTGTTTGATTGCAGAGGGTACAAGTGGCAGTTTCTGTCGATGAGGCGTTGGTTTGTCCTCTAGTAGTGTGCCTTGACAAAATTTATTAATGTGATGTGATTGACTGGCAACTAGACAGCTGTCTGGCTATCTACGATTTGTCCTAGAGTTTGTTCCAACCTGATAAGTAAAATGTACCAACCAGCTTCGAGATTAAGACAATTACTCGCCCGAGTTCCCGTGGCAATTAGTGCAATGTACGCAACCTTATTATTCACCCCGCATTTTGCAACATCCTCTCTGTCTCTTCGTCTCCTCACCAACATGCCTCGTCCGTCTCGGAGTAGAGCAGCCGCCGAATACCAGTTCCAACGCGCGTATAAAGCCTGCATTGCGTGCCGCCAGAGAAAAGTGAAATGCGAATTGGATACGGAACCCCCCCGTCCGCCGTGCACACGGTGTGGAAAGCTGGGGATCCAATGTCTGTTCACGACGAAGCAGCCATGGTCGAGGAACTCGAATGGTATGTATTTTACATTACATCGGAAGTAGCCAGCAAGCTCATTATGGATTAGATACGTCGCGGAATACCGCTCCAATGCAGAGAGTCACCCGAAGCCAGGTAAATGACCGCCCAGACGCTGCGTGCAGGGGCTTTCTGCTCTCGGTCAAGGACCCAACCGAGGAGCATGTATCTGGCAAACTTCCTGCGGATGGAATATTCAATACAGTCCTACGGGAGAAAGTAACTAGCGGTAACGACGCGTTGAATATTCTGTTCGATGCGGCAGTTCAGCAGGACCAAGCGCCCATTGTCTCCGGCACAGAGGCGGATAAGACGCCCCAGCAGCCATTATTCGCGAGTACTAGTTTGAAGATTGACTGCAGCTCGGAGACTGATGTACTGAAAATATGGAGTGGTTGTCGCTTTGTCAAGATGGGATGGTTCACTGCGCGCGAAGCAGTTTTGTATGTTGATCTGTGAGTACGCCATGCTCCCGTTCATCTGGACGCTTGTTGTCTGATTATGATCTGGAGGTTTTTCCGCAATATGGCTCCTTTGTCGCCTATTCTGACAGACTTCTTCGCCTCTCATCATACGCATTATTGGCTCATCACGCAAGAACCAGTCCTGTGCTGCACAATCCTGATGATCTCCTCGAGATACCATACCCTACCAGGGCCGTCCGGTGCCACGCGCGGATTCTTCATCCACAACAGGTTATGGCAGCACTGCCAGCACCTCATCCTACGGATCATGCTCGGACAGGAGAAGTTTTCCAAAGCAAAGACAAGGCATTTGGGAACGGTCGAGGCTCTTCTGCTCCTATCAGAGTGGTACCCGCGGGCATTACATTTCCCACCCGAGAATGACGGATGGGATTCGGATTTGATGTTGACGGCGCCCAGCGAGAGGGACCCGCCCCCTGTGACGGAAGAGAGCCCCATGCAAGACCGTTGGAGAGAAGACGTTGTCGAGCCGACGAGACGATCGGACCGGATGGCCTGGATGTTGGTAAGCTCTGCACTGGCTCTTGCACACGAGCTTGGTGTGTTTGCTACCAGCAATCGATCGGATCTGGCAGACAGCCGAATTGTAGGGCCGGATGTTAAGGCGTATGTCTGCCATCTGGATGTCAGAAGGCAGCGGCTACCGGCTTTACTTTATGTTATTATCAATCATCTCTCTTCGCGAATTGGCTGTACATCACTAATGCCGGAGAAATGTCAATTGACCGGTCTCAATAATTTGTCGGAGGTTAGCCCGGAATGGGCAAGACTTATGAAATCGTGGGTGGAATTGACAGACTTGACTCGGACCCTCAGAGAGACGTTCTTCGCTGATCCCAGTCCCCGAGACCGTCGTCAGATTGACAATGACTTGTTAGGAGAGTGGAAAGGGCGGCTTGGGCTATGGCGACATCATCATCAAGCTGTCGATAGTAAGTCAGCCACCGAATGGTTTGTGTCCGGATCTGATATTCAGAACAGACCTTCATTATGATACTGTCCTCGAGATCGAATACCAGTACCTGAGAGTACTCTCCAACTCTTTGGGCGTCCAAGGCATCGTCGAGCGAGTATTATCACAGACAGAACCCCACGGAACGATAAACACGACATTCGTTTCTCATGCGCGTCAGATTCCCCTAAGCAGGAGCGAGTACGAGTTCATCGAAGAAGTAATCGATGGCGCCTGTGCAATTCTTACACGTATTATCTCGCTACCAGGAACGAAGCCACTGTCATTTTACCCTATCAGAGTATTTCTGCGTGTCATCAGCTCCTCCATCTTCATTCTCAAGGCTCTTGCTTTGGGCGTAAGACCGACAAAACTACAGGAATCTCTGCATCTGCTGGACCAGGCTATCGCTGCTTTGGACTCCGATCTCCTGGACGACATATACCTTGTTTCGCGGTATGCGGCCTTGCTAAAGATTCATGTCTCGCGGCTCCGGCAGACCTTTGCCAATTCCAGCCAGGTTTACGGCAAAGGCGATTCATACAACCAAGAGCCTGGTACTTCGGTGCCCACAGCTGCTGAAAGATTCGACTGGGATCCCAGTATGATGGATTGGTCTGAGGTCAACGGCTCTGATGACTGGTTGTCACTCCCGCTAGACCCTTTGATGGCGCCGTTTGGGTCCTGGGACGGTGGACTCACGGATCTGGGGACGGGCTCAGGCGATCTGAATCTGGACTTTATCTGGAACTTGCCCCCATGATATCCCCGACTGTGGAAGACATGTCTGTATCTCAGGCGCGCAAAAAATTCATAAGGGACTCACCGGGAAGTCCAGAGAATAGTCTCAATGTCGTTCCGTTAATATCCATCTGAACTGAGATACTGCCCTTTTTCTATGTTCTCGTTGATTTTAGACTATTGATGACTGTGGAAGGGATCCGGATGCTGATAGGGTCCTTCAGGCTCCAAATGATTAGATTGAAATTCTCTCATATCATGTCAAAGCTGGTGGAGACTTTTTTCAGTCTCCTGATTTACCAAGGGCAAATCTCCCTGGATCTACTCAAAGCGGGGAAATTCCGCTGTCTCTGGATTCACTGAGAGTGTGGACCTTCCCCGGTTTATTCACTGATGCTGAGTCTTTCATAGATATTGCAGTTTGATTCACAGATATAGTTGCTGTTGCAGGGATAGACCTAAACTTAGAGCCACATGATTCACAGAGTTTCCTAGATATACAACATGTGTCATCCCATGCAAACTGTCAAGACTCCGTACTTGCCTCTATTCCTATACAAATAGTCGGCATATCCCTCGGCAGCCAATGCGGGGAGAAAAGAAGGTACCCCCAAATTGCACGCGTCTGATTGGCCCCCAGATATTCCGAAATCGCGCCAAGAAATACGAGCTCTGAAAGCGCACGCGATTGCACGCCTCTCGGTACTTGACTGCTGATATCTCCCAGCTTGAGACCGGTTGCTCAAAAGCCTCTTGTTTTCTGCCTTGGAGAGAGGCAGATATCATAGCACTCACGCATCCAAATAGATCACAATGAACGGCGATATACAGACCAAGAAACGGAAATGGGAGAGTGATGAGCGTGTTGGCTCCGCTGCCACTGGCTTTTTTGAGGCATTGGGTATTTGACTTTGCTGCTGTTGATGGGCGAAGCTGATTTGATGTAGTTGAGGCTGGAGTCAAGTACTGCTTTGTGAATTTGTCAGTCGACAGCCCTCTTTGCTCCCGTCATACTGACTCTCATCAGGGGGAGTGATCATCCGGCTATGCTCGAGGCCATGATCAAAGCGAAACAGGGTATGTGTTCTCAGTCCTGGAATGAGACTCGCAACTGACAGGGAGAAGAAAACTCGACCAAATTCCCTACGATCATCACCTGTCCTTCGGAACTGGTCGCTTTATCGGCGGCCTTGGGTTACGCTCAAGTAACCGGATCTCCAGTACGTTTGGGCCTCTTCCTAAAATTGAATCTCACTGACTGTGAAAGCAATGTGTCATTGTACATGTCGACTGCGGAACCCTCGCCATGGGCCAATCCATCCACAATGCCTCCGTCACGCGAGTACCAGTCCTGTGTTTCGCAGGATTGAGTCCTTTCACTGACAGCGGGGAGATGCTCGGTTCGAGAACAGAGTAAGCTGACGCCGTTTTTGGCTACGGATCAACCTAACACCCATAGATTCATCCACTGGCTGCAAGATGTCCCCGACCAGGCATCCATCGTGCGACAGTACTGCCGTTATTCAGGAGAGATCCGTACTGGCCGCAACATCAAGCAGATGGTATATCGGGCTATGCAGTTTGCTACGTCCGATCCGAAGGGTCCGGCATACCTTACTGCAGCACGAGAAGTGTTAGAGGAGGTAAGTTATTGCTGTCAATTCGAGGCAGGTTACTTATGAAAGTAGCAAGTGGAAATCCCTGACTTTGGGAACGAACTCATGGGCCCCGTCACCCCTTGCGCATTGCCTGAACCCGAAGTCGAGCGCATCGCCGCCGCTCTGCTGGACGCGAAACGACCGTTGATCGTCACGGGCTATATGGGCCGGAATCCACGGACGCCGCCGCTCCTGGCAGAATTATGCGACAAGCTGCCCATCAGCGTTGTTGAAACTGTCGGCTCGGACGTGAGTATTCGCAGCGATCACGAGGCATACCTTGGTGTGACGGTCAGCACGCACCCGGCTGTGTGCGAGGCGGATGTCATCCTGGTGATGGACTGTGACGTGCCTTGGGTTCCGACGGCAGGCAAGCCTGCAGAGGGTATGCTCTTTTCTCTTCGATTTTTTCAGACAAAGACTTACGTGGAACAGGAACAAAGGTATTCCATCTCGACGTAGATCCGTTGAAGCAACAGATGCCAGGTGAGTACAAGCACCTCTGCCCAATCTCCACTCGATACCAACGGACGTAGTCTTCTTCATGAAAGCCATCCGGCGATACAAGGTCAGCTGCGAGCTCGCCCTGCAACAGCTCAACGCCTACCTGGACAAGCAATCTCTCGACAGAGCCAAATACGCCGAGGCATTCGACGCACGCGCGGCACGCTACAAGCAATGGAGACAGAGCCTACGCGACCTTGAAGTTCCTTCACCGGAGGGCATCGTGACGGTTCCATACCTGTCATCCAGACTACGGCAGCATCTACCGGAAGACGGTGTTATTGTTATCGAAGCGGTCACCAACGCCATTCCGGTCATCCATCATTTGAATCTTACCAAGGTATGTGTGTCACTCTCCATCGACTCAACCTGACTGACGAACCAGCCCGGAACGCTCTACGGCAGCGGTGCAGGCGGCCTCGGCTGGGGCGGTGGTGCAGCACTCGGAGTCAAAATGGCAAAACGAGATTCTTTCATCTGCGCGATGTAAGTTCGCTCAGCTCATTGAAGTCCACAACTGACAAATATAGCGTCGGAGACGGCACGTACCTCTTCTCGCAGATGGAATCCGTGTACTGGATCGCCCGGCGATATAACGTTCCTTTCCTCCTGATTGTGCTGAATAATAGCGGCTGGAACGCACCTAAGGTGTCTACCTTGCTCGTCCACAAGGATGGACTATCGTCCAAGTCGAATAGAGCGGGTGAGCCCTTTCCTCCTAGCTATGGGTAACTGACCATGCTGATGCGGATGTAGACTTGAATTTGTCGTTCGAGCCGTCGCCGGATTACCCTGGGATTGCGGCTGCGGCCGGCAACGCGTGGGGAGCGACGGTCACCAAGACGGACGAGGTTGATTCTACCCTGCAGAGTGCGGTGGAGGTTGTTCGGGGGGGTCGATGTGCGGTTGTTGAAGTTCGGTGAGTTTTCTCCTTGAGTTTAGAGGCAAATGCTGATGATAGGCAGGGTTCCGTCAATGTGGGTGGAGAAGTGACAAACCATTATGTGGCCCTTCAAACGAGAGCATATCGTAGAGTGGAAAGCTAGTGAGATCGACTACTTTCATGCGATTGATTAGGCCCTATTGTCCTTAAACTCCGCAACATCTTGCAAGCACGGCTAGAGAGTATATGGCCAGTGTAGGGTTTACCTAGGACCATGTCACTTAGCATGATATTGATTATACAGCGTATCAATCGCATATATGAAAGATTAAGCATGCTACTATACTTTTAGAGAATGATCACTGAGAAGTGATGCCATGATATTATGTCCTCTGGCTCTATCCCTCGTGGATGCCAGTTGACGCAGATGACAGGCACACTGAGCTGGCGCAGAAACCAGATTAATAGATCAGTACCAATAACCTTATCAGACTTTATTCCGATCCTAATACAATGATTGGCTATTACATGGAGTTATCAAGGATTGCCGATCTGAACGATCTGAGTTCGAATCGTGATTATCGACGGTTGCGGAAAGGTTGATGTCATGGTCACGCATCACAATCATATTTAAGCCATACGACTTTTCAAAGACTCCGATATGGCTCCTAGTTTAGTTTCAAACCCTTTCAGTGCAAGAGGAGCGAAATGCCCCAAAAGAAAAAGCGAGTAGCTATTGTTGGCGCTGGGGCCGCAGGAATGGTAAGCTTCCAGCCACCAGATCTATCCAGACACCGGTCAATTGAAATGAAATAGTCCTGCGCCTCTGCTCTCGCCAACCATCCCGATCGCTTCGACGTGACCGTCTTCGATATTGCCTCCTACACAGGCGGCCAAGCCACCTCCATCTCCCTCGACGAATCCCGCTACGGCGCCGACTGGCTCAACGATGGCGTGCAGGGGGGCTCCCCGATCTTCCGACACACCTTCAACTTCTTCCGTCGGTACAGTTACGAGCCTCACGCGGTGAAACTGCAAGTCGCGTTCGGCAAGGGCGTTGAGGACTTCTTCACGAATGTCTTTCCCTCGCCGCTGGTCGACCAGCTCTCCGACGAGATCAAGAAATTGGGCCGCGTGCTCAAGTGGATCAAGCGGCTGCTTCCGATCCTGGGGATCATGCCTATCAAGATGATAATGAAGCTGTTCCGGTTCAGCGATGACTTTTCGAATAAGATGGTCATCCCGATCATGGCGCTCTTCCTGGGAACGGGGAACCAAACCCCGAATGTGTCCGCCGCACTGCTGGAGAGACTGTTCGACGATCCAAACATGAGGCTATGGGAGTACGACCCGGATACATTACTCCCCAATCAACCGACCATGTACACATTCCCCAAACTCGGCGACTTCTACCGCGACTGGGCTGCAGACCTCGAGTCCAAAGGCGTGCACCTCCGTCTCAACACCCGAGTCAAAATACTGCAACGAGACAACCACGGCATCAAATTACGTCCACAACCCGCCCACTCGGACCACGCAAACGCGCAAGCAGAACTAGACGACTTCTGCGAGATGTACGACGAACTCATCCTCTCCCTCCCCGCGGACGAAGCCAAGGCCCTACTAGGCAAACACGCCACCTGGCGCGAGAGGTACGTCCTCGGCGGCGTGTCCTTCTACAACGACCTCACCATCACCCACTCCGACAGCGAGTACTTCAACAGCATCTTCGAGACGCGGTTCAAGGGCGATCTCTGCGCCAAGGGCTCCTCGGACTCACGACAGGAGCAGATTGCGTTCGCGAAAAGGCAGCCGCCGACGTGCAGAAAGGACGGATGGGAGGGGTTCGCGCCGATGTACTTCACCCACTCCTTCGGCAACGCGCCGCAGTGCATCGAGATGGGGTTCGACTGCTCCCACTACCAGCATCAGTTCCGGGCGAGCGTCGGGGAGGACAATACCTCGCTGGAGCCGGAGCGGCACGTCTACCAGACGATCTACCTCAACGATCAGCAGAAGCACCTGTGGACGTGGGAGAGCGTCGACCCGGACAAGATCATCGCGAAGAAGTGGTGGCATCAGTTTGGGCATCGGTGGCAGCATTACCTGCGTGTTGTCCCTGGGATGATGTTCATTAACGGGAAGAATCGGACGACGTACGCGGGGTCTTGGACTATGGTGGTAAGGCTTTTCTCGTCTCGGATGTGATGGGCAGGTGCTGATGAGCGTTTAGAATATGCATGAGATTGCGTGCATCTCCGGTCTAGCAGCTGCGTATCGCCTTGGAGCCGCGTACGAGCCGTTTGATGACTTTGCGGAGGATCTGTTCTCGAAATACTTGCTTGTTTCGCATGGGGTGCGGTATAAACGAAGACAGTGATCATATCATTCATTGGCAGTATATAGTATACGAGGATTAATGTCAGTTATCATAAAACGTATCGAAAGCTCTCGATCTCCAGGTCAGTCTTGTTGGACAGCCCCTGCGCCAACTCCTGGCTCTCAGTCAACTCCGTCACAGGCCCGTAAACCGCATCCCGCCGTCGGTTCTCAAAGACATAATAGACAAGCAGACAAATGAGGAAGAATGCTCCCAGTGCGAGGCCCGAGACCGCCGCTTTCATTCCGGTCTATGCCCATTAACACCCTTCAACGTAGGAAAGAAGCGGATGACTTACCGGGTATGACGGCTCTTCGCTCGTGACAAAAAACTGCGGCCCAACGATATTTCCCACGCAGTATGCAACAAACAGCAAGGCACTCGTCACACTCCTCTTCGTGAACCCAGCGACGTTGGAACTAATCAGACTCAACGACAGCGGGATATTGACAGCGAAGACAGCGCCCAGCGCCAGACCTGTCAGCCTTCCCTTCTGATTCTCGTCGGGGAGCTGCCAGACCAGCACCATGCCGATCACCGAGACGGTCGTGTTGCCTATCATGCCGAGGATACGCGTGTTGGGGAGGAGGGTTGCGAGGGCGGTGGTGAGGAGGAGAAAGACCAGCTGTGCAGCGCCGAGAGGCATCTGCATGAGCAGGGACTTGAGCGTTGAGAAGCCGAAACCATTGATAATGATCGAGGAGAACTGACCTGCTTAGTTTTCTTGATCATGGAGAGATAGATACGAAGGGACATACGCTGGTGATACCCCCATTGCACAAGTTGACACAGAAGGTATACAGCACCAGAAACCACGTCTGGGGATCCCGCAGCGCCAACCAGACTTGAGTCCACCTGAAGGAACCCGTGTCCAGCACCCCGGTCTTGTTCTTGAGCGTGCGCTGCACGGCGATGGCGCGCTCGGTCTTGGTGAGGAAGATGGCCGACTTGGGCGTATCCGGCAGCAGGAGGATGAGAAACAGCGACAGGCCGCTGGTGATGGCCCCCAGAGCCAAAAAGAGTAGCTGCCAGCTGCGGACGGCGCTGTTGTGCACGTTTCCGATTCCGTAGGCGACGACACCGCCGATGATGGTCGAGACGCAGTTGCCCATGAACCAGGCCGCTTGTCGGGCGGGTTGCTCTTCGCGCTTGTAGAACATGCCGACGATGAGGGAGAAGCCCGGGGCGATGGCTGCTTCGCCGACGCCCAGGAAGAAGCGGGCGGCCATCAGACCGGCGAAGTTGGTCGCAGCCGCGTGGCACATCAGCACGCCTCCCCAGATGAGGCTGGAAAGTCAGACGGGTTGGAATGAGAGAGGGATGGGTTTGAACGTACACAGAAGCGCTGAGGTACTTGGCCAGTGGCAAGCGCACGCAGAGGTACGAACTGGGCCAACTCCAGGCAAAATACCCAAAGTAGAAGATGGCCGGGGCCCAGGCGTATTCTCGTCCAACGATGTGCTTTTCCCGTCAATATCTTGTCATCGAACTGATTGAGTGGACACACCAGATCCTTTCGTAGACCAAACAAGGTCGCCTGACTCAATGCCAGCTTATCCATGAACTGCATCATGTAACATAGTCCCATTACCGGCATCAACCTGTAGCGTTCATCAGCATGTTGCAACGCATTCTGGAAGGTGGGGAGATGCATACACCAGGTCCAACTTCCACAATACCATCCTCTCTTCTTCCGGGGTGTAATTCACCTCGAGCATCTGCCCGACGTCCACATCGCGAATCACCGAGTTTTGGGCCTGCAATTTGAGGTCTCCCAGGTCGGGGATGTGAGGTTGAGTGTGCAACTCTGAATATGAGTGCTGCTTCTCCATTGTGTAATCTCAAAGAAAATGTGATTGTTCTATGTCTTATCGTTGTACGTATTTGACACTCAAGACCAGATCCAAGCAGGTCTTATACTCCACCATCCTGACCATGGACGAGGACATAAACACCAGTCGGCAATCGAAAAGGTTATCAGCCGCTGCCAAAGCTAATGTCAACCTTGATAAGCGCCACAGGTGCCGGTACTGCGGAGGGAGGAAGCGCTTGAAGAGTTTTCCGTCGAGAGCGGCCTTGGCTGGTTGAGTGCGATGACAGCAATCAGCGACAGATCGATAGGCAGTGCGGAATAGAAGCAAGAAAGGTAGACGATTGGTAGGGAGTCGTCGCCTGAAGATAGGAAAACTTGGGATATCGATTCTATCTCTGGTTTCTGGTCTTCTACGCAAATAGAGATAGATAGATATGGCCGGGGGAGTTTAGGGCTCGGCAGATCCGCCAATGCGAGGCGTTGCTCGGCAAAGCGTAACTCTATCGTCGCTTATCATTCCACGGATTCTGGACAATTGGCTCTGTCAATAGATCCTTTTGTTCTTGACATACGGAATAGACCTAGAGGGCTTACCCCATGTCTTGAATGCGGGGAGAACAGAAGCAGGTACCCACTGCTCGCCTGTGGATTCATATCTGCCGAGCATATCAAGAGTGATATCAACAGCGACTCGCGGTGGCAAAGGCACTTTCGTATCTTCTTGATAATCATTGCTCAGAGGCTTACCCCGCATTAACGAGCCGACGTGCATTATCGAATCCGTGGTTCTCTGCCGAGAGCCAGTATCGCTGATCGATATGTCATGGCTTCGTGACTGCTGGAGTTGACCGCGGTCTCTTTTCCCGATGACTCCTGCCGGCGTCTCATAAAGCACGGTCATCCTCTCATGGACACATCAGTATACTCTCCCTACCGAAAGTCAAGGCATCATGGCAATCCTCACGCCCAATATTGATGAGATCAAAGCGTCCATCGACGCAGCCCTGGACAATCTCCAGACCCCCTTGCAAAATCTCAACCGAGAGGTATATTCCTTTCACTACTGAACCTATATCAGCTCTCTGATTGGATTCAATCCAGATATGGTCAAACCCCGAAACAGCCTACCAAGAGCACAAAGCCCACGAGGCCATCTGCGCCTTTCTCGAGGCCCAGGGCTGCACCGTCACCCGCCACGCCTATGGGCTCGACACCTCCTTTGAAGCCACTTGGGGCTCCGGCGGCCGGCTGATCAACTTCAACGCGGAATACGATGCTCTCCCTGGAATCGGGCATGCCTGTGGCCACAACCTCATTACCACGAGCAGTGTGGCAGCATTCTTGGCCCTGTCGGCCCTGCTGAAGAAGTACGGGATTCCTGGACGGACGCACTTGCTCGGGACACCGGCCGAGGAGAACGGGGGTGGGAAGACAAAGTTGATTGAAAAGGGGGCTTACAAGGGGGTAGATATCTCGCTCATGGCGTAAGTCTCTCCTTTGCCTGGTGACAAATTACTGACGAACCAGCCATGCTGGACCCAAGAAGCTGTTCCCCGGGGTCGACTCTGACGGGGTCGGCGGTGTACTCATGAACGCGCGCAAGGAGATTCACTGCGAGTTCACTGGCAAGTCTGCCCATGCTGGGGGTAACCCCTGGGACGGGATCAATGCCCTGGATGCTCTGATTAGTGCGTACAACAATGTTGCCGTGCTGAGGCAGCAGCTGCAGCCTGATGAGAGGGTGCATGTCGCATTCACGGAGACCCCCACTGTGGCCAATGTCATTCCGGAACGGACCAAGGCGTACTGGCAGGTGCGCAGTCCGACGCTGAAGGGACTGAATCAGTTGATGGGGAGAGTCAGAAATTGTATCGAGGCAGGGGCGTTATCATCGGGATGTCGGGTCGACATTGTCGAGTATGGCTCTTCCAGCATTCTTTTTGAGAAGTGCTAATGATGCAGGGATCTACTTTATACTGATATCAAGATCAATGACACCCTCTGCGAACGATACCAGACTCACATGGCTCGCTATGGACGGAAGATCACCAAGCGCCACGACAAGGTCTTGACGGGTTCATCAGATATCGGTATGTCTTCTCCTCAGGCAGAGACTGCAGAGCTGACTCTATAGGAAACGTGAGCTATCTTATTCCAACCCTGCATACCATGTTCGCCATCACAGACCAAGAAGGCTCATTCCCTCACCATCCTTCGTTTGCCAGCGCAGCCGGGGCAGATACAGCGCATGAAGAGGCAGTCATTGTGGGCAAGTCTTTAGCAATGATCGGATGGGAGATGTTGACAGATGAGGGACTCTTTCAGACAGCAAAGAAGCAATGGGAGGTGGCAATTTCGGAGTGATCGATGCTATTCGGGATTCTTGGTGATTTCGTATGCATCATTTATATCAGAAGGCCGCGAATTCTGTTTGACTCCTGATGTAAGGCGATTCTGTCGATTTCTTCCTGGGCGCACGGCAACATCAATGGAGTCGGCACCCATACCAACCAGCATGTCAATTATAGGCTGGCACTGCCACTCGGTAGCCTCAGTATATAACAACTTCAGAAGACGGGGATCACTTTCGATATCTGCACCGGCCTCTAAAAGCAAACGAAATTCATCAGGCTTGTTGAGACGAATAACAGAGTCCAGAATACAAATGTGGATTTCGTCTTCATTCCATGCTGGATTAGCAGCTCGATGATCTTATAGCTTTCATCGCGTTTTAGAGCCAATTGTAAAGGAGCCAAGGAACTTGGCCTTGTCGCCCCTCTTGTCCTTGCTTTCCTTTTGGAAAAGGACACGTTCGGACTGGCTCCATTGTCCAGCAAAAGCTTTATCATGCTAAGGGGGGCGTGCGCAATTGCTGCACACAATGGAGTGTAGCTTTCCACAGGCAACTGGGAGTCGATATCGGCGCCCCTTTCAAAGAGGAGAACCTTGACTCTTTCCTCATCTCCTCTTTGCGCAGCGTATAGAAGCATGAAGTGTGTTTCGGCTTTGATGGTCAACTGCATGCTGGGGCGTTTCTGGCATAAGTGCTGAAGTAGATAGTCCTCAATTGCGTGGTGTCCGTTGAAGGCCGCATGGCCAATAGGTCGGCATCCCTTTGAATCAATGGAGAGCAGATTTGCGCCGCGGGTGACAAGTATACGGACCGTCTCGAAGTGACCGGCCAGGGCCGCTAAAGCAAGGGGGCTTCGTCCTTGAAGATCCTTGAAGTTGATATCGGCACCATGATCTAAGAGTTTAACCACAATCCCTGAGTGGCCACTTGCAGCCGCATATGAAATAGTATGTTCTTGAAAAGAAGACTCCGCATCAGGTTTTGCGTATCGGAGGTGCTTTCCTTGTGGCCAATGGCGTGTACAGGACCAATAGCGCGACCTCCAGCGCACGTCCACCCGGATATTGAGGAATCGTCGAACTGTTACTTCGGAGCCATGCTTTGCTGCCCATAAGAGAGCAGAATGGCCGTACTGCTCCGCATTCCAAGAGTAGAGGTAGTCGTTGAGAGAGCGGTAGAGGAGGGAATGACTCTGCAGGAGGGCATTCAGATCTCTGGCATATAACTCTTTCGCAATGAGAGTGAGCAACTCATGCGGCAATGCTATGATAGACATTTCAACAGGCAGACCAGGAGGCTGCTCCTATTAACCTGAGGGATGGAGTCGTTCATGACTACTGTGGCAGGGAAATCCCCGTCTCTCCAGCGATTGGTGCCTGAGGCGGCCATGTACAGCAGATCACCCATTTTGTAGTTACCTGCTGGTATTAGTAAAGGAGGTTGTTAGGAACAAATATTTTAATTTCCTTTCTTTTTCTTTTCTTTTCTTTTTCTGTTCGTGTCAAAAAGTGGCTATACAACCGCACTCGTTATTGAATTTAAGCTCTGTGGATGCTGTTTTCTATGACGCCATACGCTCCGGACGACGCTGCAGTTCCTTGACCATATCTATCCCAACTTGGGTAAACTCATCCAGGCTCTCCTCCGGCAAACCAAGCAGCTCATTCTGTGCCTTGGCCGAGCAATCACTCGGATCATCCGGGTAAAACGCCCTCGCGTAGAGCAGCTTACTAAAACCAGCCATGTTACCACCCTTAACTAGCGCCAGGCCATCTTCGTATCGCTTCTTGGTAGCCTCATGGGTAACCGTCCAGTCAGCGTCCCTAGTGCCCGTGACGCGCTTGACGCTCTCAAATATCTCGTTTTGGCTGACCACAAAGCTCTTGATATACACGGCCTTGTTAAGCCACCCCGACACAGTAAGACTCTTGTCGTTTTCGTGGTCAGGAAGCTCCTTGAGACTCAGCAGGTTGGCCACGGCGCGCCCAACCTGCGACAGGGTCGATACCGAGTTCTTGGTGTTGCCATCGTCATAGATCGTCAGAGACCGCTTGTCAAAGTCGAACCCGAAGCGCGCCTCACCACCCGCCAGGCTATACTCGTACCAAAACCCACAGCACACCGTGATCCACTGCATGCCGAGCCTCTCAATCTCGTCCCTGTTGGCCTTGGCCACGGGCCCCAGCATTATCTCCTCTCCGAGTTTAATGTTTTCAATGTCGCCAGCGTACCCGTTGGGCATGATGTAGGGAACACCAGCCTTAGCGGCTGCCTGGACGAGCTTGCTGTGGGTGTCCTGGGGCGCAGTGGGGGCTATTGTGATGATAAAGAACTGTTGGCCCTCAAGGGCAGCGACAATAGTGGCCTCGTCGTCATAGTCAACTGGGGCGATGAGGACGCCCTCGGGGAGTTTGTTGCTGCTATCTTTGCGGGAGAGGGCCGTAACTGTGTGTTTTCCGGTTTTAAGGAGAGCGGCGACGAGGTGGGATCCAACAGTGCCTCCGGCCTAAGGGCGTTTGTTAGTTGTTGTGTATGTGGTGCTGTTGAGGGATATACCTACACCGACAATGGCGACTCTCTCAACGGCGTTTTTGAAGCCGGCGGGCTGGTTCTTGGCGTACTCGGGCATTTTGGATGTTGAATTGATGATTAATGTATATTAATTGTTGTGATTGTGGTCAAGAGTGGTGGTCGAGGTGTTATAGCTATTGTTGCTGTTTGATATTCCTCCTTGGAGCAGAGAATGCCTGTCCATTTATACATTTCAGACCCAGTCTCGAGTCTCTCGACATCTCTACAGAGCCATACTTCTATGCCAAGCACCTCTCGGCCGCAGCAGCCGCACACAGGGGCCTGACTAACTCCGCAATAGCCGCACCACACCGCACCGCACCAACATTGAAGCGGCGTTAAGACAGCATAGCCGATATTATTCAACTCCCGACTAACAGACCTCCGCGCATATCTCCGCAATGTCAAGATGATCAGGTTGGAAATCACTATGCGGAGAAAGAAGAGCCTTATAATACAATGCTGAATTTCATTGGACCATCCTAGAGTGCCACGCCATGTTTTGATGAGTTGAATCGCCGCTGAGTGGATTCAATCATTGTACAACGCCTACAGCTGGATGTCGGGACCGAGAATCGATAGATATGGCTCGATGAGAAACTGATCCCAGTCCACACCCCAGCCAATGTCCGGCAAAGCGGCGTTGGCCTCGGGTTCCGGCTGCGCCTGGAAGGGTTCGTAGCCCGCCTCGACAGCTTCCAGCTGGATAAGCTCCTTTCGCTTCTTTGCTATATTGAGGCTGAGAAGATGCCGCGCTATTGACAATGCCTGACGGGTCAGTCCTGTGTCTGCAGCCCTGACAAGATGTTCCAACCCCTTGAAGGCAGCAGGGATGTGAGCGGAGGAGGCCGGCGTGTCGATCGCCAACAAGACACAGGCATACTGGAAGACGCTGCCTATGACGTTCCAAAGTAGACGGCCCTGGTTGGCTAGCTGCTCAGCCGCCTCCACTGCGTCGTTACCGCTATCAATGACGAGTTGAATTATCTCGTCCGTTATGCCTGTCTTGAGCTGATAAATGCGTCGATAGAAACAAAACGCAAGGTCCGCCTTAGTCGCCACCAGGAACGGATGGGTGAAATCGAGTTTCCTCAATGCCTTGAGACGCTCAAATAGCTCCTCCCTCGGAGTTGGAGGCTGACATTCGAGCTGGAACGGCGAGTTGGGCGACGGGATGATCTGGACGATTTGCACGAACTGGTCGGCAACGGACCCTTGGATCGGGATGATAGCCTGACAAGTCACGGCCCAAATCTTACCGCCGAACGATCGTACTCATAGGACAGCATGTGATGCCCGGCCCACGAGATCCAGAAAATTCGCCTCAGCCGGTCCGCATCATGTCCAACAACAGCGGCGCCGGCGACAGACGCCATCCTTTTGATGTTCTCTTCCTCGTGCAGCCCTACCACTTCGCAAAGGTGCATGAGAGTGCACGACGCGACCCAGGCATTACTGGGGCGGGTTGTGGCCCGTAGATAAAATAACCGCATGCCCCACGCGATGATGTGGTCAATGCTCAGCATACGCATGGAGGCTGGATCATCGAGAATAGCTTTAGCGTACTGCACCAGGTCAGACTCCCGCGGGTATCTGGTTGGGGATAGGAACGACCCGAAAGCAGCGACGCCGGCGGCTACGGCGCCAAAGGCGACCGCGGTGCTGCCGGAGCCATGATAATAATCCCGACATCGCTGGGCGTAGATTCTCGGGTCCATGTAGTCGCCGACAGGGCCCATTGCAGAGAAGTACACATTCGAGTAGAAGGCGAGGTCTTCCTCCGAGATAAGTTTCCCTAGGAAGCCATAAGCGTTGGAAGCCTCCTCGGGGCGGATCCCAAAGTTGTAAGCGAACGAGTTGATCTTGGGAGGGCTGTCGGAGCCGAGAGCCACGCCCAGGATGTGCGGGAAGGCCATGGCCGCCGATGCTCCGGTGTATCTGGACTTCTGCTCGTCGAAGATGCCGGCCCCGACGGTAGGACTCTTTGTCAGTCCATGGGGAGCTCTCGCGACATGAGGTTGGCTGTCCGGGCTGCGCGATTTGGCGGTGACCCCGCGCGCCATACTACTCCCTCCGTCAAGAATGACGCGCTTGGCTAGGGGTGGAGCGTGCCCGCCTCCATCCGCAGTGCTAGTGGTGTCGTCGTCGGCGTACCTGCAGTTATATTCGTAGGTGGTGCACGTGCCACAGGGATACTCCGCGTCGCATTTTCGCTTGCGCTGGTGGCAAGGGATGCATGCCTTCCTTGCACGCTTGCGCTTGCTGATTGTCGTCGACATGATTGCTCAGTTGCTATGTCATAATCTTGGAGTTGATCGGCTCCCCTGCAAATGACATATGTGTAAGTTGATGTGCTGTTCTCCACCAAGTAAATATGGGGCCATAGCCACCTGGGCAGATACCTTTTAACCTATTATTATCTTTTAACTTATTCTGCCTGCACCCACTGCTTACCCCTTTTAGTAGTTTAATATATTTATATAGACGCTCCATACCTCTATATCTACTTATATTCCTATATATTCTTGAACACTACCACCATACCTTTTGATATGCAGGGTTCGATTGTCATAAATACCAGGACTTTTTGATGCCTTTTGGCACCCAAGCGAGCATCCCAACGCATCTGTTTCTTTAGTCCCAGAGATGTACATGTCATCGTCAAGCTAATCCCATAAATGCAAATCTTCCAATTCCCCAGTCATCCCATGAAGTTTCGGCTGTATTCCCATTTCTCTATAGGCAGCCTTAATTCTGTCCATTGCTTCTTCATCCTGTGTTGGCCCCTCATCATCCGACTCCGTGCACCCGTTGGAATAGAAGCGAAGCCAAACCACAATCTCACAGTTCAAGATTCTGGTAGAAAGTTCCTTCATCTCACAACAGGGGTCTCGCACACGCGGAAGGGCCTGACACCACCAGATAACACGTTTTACATTGCAGCGCGCGTACCAGTCATTGTTACCAAAGAGCAGCTCCTCAAAGAAGTCTCCCATGCGCAGGCCGTCCGAGAATCCTTCCGGTTCACCCTGTATTCGGGCTGTTAGTTGGTCACTACCCTGCGTGCGATTACGTCGAAGATGGCTCACGGGAATCTCGAAGAATCTATACCCATGGCCCATTCCGAACCCTTCCTCGAACACGGCAAACTTAGGCACCGGCGGCTGCTGGACCAACATTCGTCTCCAGCTTGCTTCCGGTCGGAGATATGCGGCTAGCTTTTGAGGCTTTTTGATCATGTCGAATGTAGAAAAGGCAGATTGACCGTAGTCATACTTGTCTTCAGGGTCGTTGGGGTCAGTGGCATCAAAGAGTGCAGAGAATGCTACTGCCAGCATGGAATTCTGAAGTGGCTCTTGATTTGGAATCTTTTCGATGGGAGTAAAAAACAGAGCCTTTTGCATAGCAGTTGAGTATTTGATCGTCGTGAACCAAGAGCGACAGGTTCGTTGGGAGCAGAGTAGTGTGCGCATATCAAGTTTTAGCAAAATCATCCCCAGAATCTCAGGGATCGAGAACGCGATCATTGCGGCATTGGACAAAGGCATTGTGAAGAGATAGTTATGGAAGAGGAAGGGTAGTATGTCACAGAGCAGAATTAGAAGAAACGCAGGGTATAATAGGTAGTTGACACTCACAAACTCTAGCTACGGCTCAGGCTATCTACAGGTGCATAGACAAGACATACAGTCGGCCCCACTAGTTTGTAGCATAACACGTCTCCCACACACGCGTTTTCTACCCTCTACCTTTCTTAACAATGGACCATGCCACGCAGGCCCCTACAAGATATCGATTTCAATAAGAGACAGGGAGATGAGTACTCTGTGGCTCAATGGGGGAGATAAGTGAAAAGCTTCAAATTCCGAAGTCATCCATTCAATATACAATTGAAAAGAATGCCCCTCGTCAGCAAGGGAAAACCTAACGCGGCGCTGGTAGGCCTAGCCTACTATCACATTCATGGCCATATACACATTGCAGCCCTGGCCTCTGTGTTGTTTTACAAACACAGCAAGGTAGCATACAACTCTGACAAGGAGTATGTGGCTGTCTTCTTTACTAGAACTGACTTCTCTTCCTGCTGAGCAGACCCCACTCACCTACTGCATGCTCACAAATACATACCATGGTCTGTTGCAGTCTGCTCCTGTTCGCTCACAGATTTGTCCATAATGCAGCTAATGATTAACTATCACACCCCTCATCCAGAGTGTCGGGTCTGTAGAGTGGTATCGCCCATGCAGCCATCAGACCGTGATCCTGCTTGAGTAGCTAGTGCTTAGTACCTATAGTCGCAATTTGCTAGCAGCCTGTTGGCGCATCCCGCGGAAACCTGAAAACTCGGCCTTATGAATGGCTACGACACTGTCTTCTAAAGTGTTTCTATGCTTCAATAGTACAACCCTTCCACACAGTGCATCAACCCCTTTTTTGTCGTTTTCGTTTTCCATCTTTCATTTTTTTTACGATAGAGTATTTTCCACTCTCCCAAGATCAGGTCATTAGGTATGCCCCGCTCCGTCCTCATCACCGGCTGCAGCGCGGGCGGCATCGGATCCGCCCTCGTGGAAGAGTTCCACGCAAAGGGTCTCCATGTCTACGCGACGGCGCGGTCCAGAGCCAAAATGAGCCACCTGGAGAAGCTGCCCAATGTGACGATCCTTGAGCTGGATGTCGCTTCTGGAGAGAGTATCGCGGCCGCCGTTGAAACCGTCCGAAATCAATCTGGGAAGCTGGACATACTCGTCAACAACGCTGGTCAGTCTCTGGTTTTTCCAGCCCTGGAGACGAGCATCGACGATGCGAGGCGTGTTTTCAACGTCAATTTTTTCGGTGTGATTGCTGTTACACAGGCGTTCGCTCCGTTGGTCCTTGCCGCCAAGGGCATGGTTGTGAATGTTTGTTCGATTTCGGGGTTTTTGTATGCGCCGTGGATGAGTTTGTGCCTTCTGTTCTTATTTTTTTTGGCAGTATGATTAATGCATATAGGTGTATACAATGCATCCAAAGCCGCTCTGATGCAATGGAGTGAAACAATGCGGTTGGAACTGCAGCCGTTTGGTGTCAAGGTTATTTCTCTTGTTACTGGATCCGTCGCGACAAATGTCATGTCCCATGCCAATCTGGGCTTACCTGAGAACTCACTCTATCATAAGGCTATCGAGGAGATTCAAAAGCGCGGAGTTGGTGAAGATGTGCAGACAAAGAGTGCGGCAGCCATCTTTGCAAAGGACGTGGTCAGGGATATCTTGGCTGGTGCCTCTGGTCCTATATGGCGGGGAGCGTTGACCTCGATGGTGAACTTCATGTACAGATTTGTACCTACAGCACTCTTGGTGAGTCAATTTTCTGCGATTGGGTGGTTTTGATAATAATGGCCGCATAGGATCTTGCAATGAAGACTGGGACAGGCATTGATCGTTTGCCTTGACAGGTCTATTCCTTCACATGTAGCTAGATGCCCACTGATGCATAACCTTCACTCTCCCTCTGTAAACAATCCATTTGTTCTGCCTAGTCATCCCTGAGGACCACACGCATCATGAGCTTGGGCTTATCCCATAGCAAGTGCATAGCTACGTCGTGATGCCAGTCCACATCCTCGTCTACCAATTCCATGTCGTACTGATAGTGTAGCTTTGCCAGAGTCAAACGCAACTCTAGCCAGGCGAGTCTGATTATGCACCGCTGTTAGTCTGATCACGAACAGGAAGACACGGATGTCTGCTGCTTACCCCCGTCCCAAACAAAACCTTGGCCCCAGTGAGAAGGGCTGACTGGCCTCGAGCTGATCAAGATTATTGGCCCCAAGCCAGCGCTCCGGGCTAAACGTCCAAGGACTGTCGAAGTTCGTCGCGCCAAGGCTGGCTGCCAAAGGGTTCGTGGACACAATAGTCTGAAGGATCAGTGGGTTGGTCAGCTACTAATCTCAGCGTTCTGCAAGTGACACAGCGTAGAAACATACCCAGTTCTCCTTTATATCGAATGTGAGTAGATTACTCCACATCGTCATATCGATCTCCTCCTTCGAGACTCCGCGTCGACCGACCTGATCGATGAATCGATCGATCACCTTAGTGATTAGACTCTCCTGCTCACGTAGGGATCGATCCGAGAATGCGGTGGCGAGGAATTTGCGCATCTCGCTGTGCTTGGCTAAATCCCTCTCGCTCACTATGGGGCTTGCCTGATCGGCGAAATTCCCTCCATCGTAGAAATCGCTTTTGATGAACGTCGGACGGCCTTTGCGTACCCCGTAGATATCTTTCCAGGACTGTGCAGTGTTAAAGGAGAGCTCGTTTGGCACAACGCGCACGACGGGTCCTGAAGGCTTGGTTAGCTTATCGCAGCCATGCCCAGGGCACAAGGTCCATTATCCCACCGTATTCTTGGTGCAATTTCAAAGTGTCATATGGTTGTCGACCGCCAAGGTAGCTTAATAAATAGTTCAACTATAAATCTCCATGTCAGAAGTTACCGAAATCAGGTGGTCAGCCAACAGCATGGTCAACTACGAGGTCGTCCTGGCCAACGGCAGCATTGTCCATGCTAACGCCAGCTCCAAGTACAGTGACCTGAACTGGGCTCTCAAGGGTGGCTCACAAAACTTCGGCATAGTCACTCGGTTTGACTTGAAGCCCTCGGATATACTTGTAAGTTTTACATACAATAAACTACCGTACTCTTCGAATACAGTAGGTTCCGTGATAGAAAGTTCGGGGTCCGCCTGACCTGTCTTGACAGTCTGTGTCCATAGATCCAGCCCCAGTAAAGTACTTGAATTAAAGCCAACCCGGACAGTGTACCCAGACTAGAACCAGCCAGATTATTTTGCGCTTTCGGGGGCGAAGACATACTATTTTACACACACGAACGAGAGAGAGGAAGACGATACTTACTATGTTGCTTCATCTGCGAGACGCGATTGCTTCCTACCTGTTCCAATTGCCCAAGCACCCGGTCTCCCTTCTCCATGCGTGCGCCTTCATCACTCTCGCCTGGCTCCTGTTGTCTTGGACGGTCTCTCTCCCCCCCCCCATAAGCGCAATCACCTTGTTCCTGGAATTTACATAGCCGGCCTGGATGACGGGAAACGACCCCTCCAAGAGGCCCGACAAGTCTTTATCAACGACTGCGCTAGCCTAATGCTTGATGGCTATCAGAAAGTAGGCCAGCAGCTGAGCCCGTTCCCAAACAGTCTGCTAATAAGTAACTTCATCCGGATGATAGACTCAAGGAGGATTTTTCTACATCCCTTCACCAGCCGGGGAACGGCTGATGATTCCCACGAAATACTTGGAGGAATTGAAAAACTCCCCAAACGACGAGGTCGATTTCACAGCCAGCTTCTCCGAGATGTTCGAGGGAGAATATACTACGATCGGGAAAAGATGGCATCTGCATCCTCCGGTGGTGAAGAAATCGCTCAATGCTAATCTTGGTATCTTTCTTCTTTCTTTTCTGCAGATCAATTCACGGCGTCGAATGATTCTGAGCTTTTCTTCAAGCCTGAAGGGAACGCCAGGTCCAGCTGAGCGGACTATTTGTACAAAAAGGACACATCACTTCTTCTTATTTCTACAATATATACGCCCCTAGCACAACACAACCCAGCACTTTGACACAAAAAAAAAAGAAGGAATTCTTCTCATACTCATTTCAACATTATACTCTTATTCTATTCCTCATAGTTTGTTGAGCCAGATTTGTGGTAACTAACTAGTTAACGTAATCCACAAGCGAGAGGGCCACCCAAGCGAGCGGGCCACCTCACGCGTTTCAGACGCGGTCACAATACTCAACCAATTCAAACCACCACCATGTCTCCAAAACAACATCAAAAATCAAAAGATTCAGTCGAACAAGAAGGGAGAATCTTACTTGCGATATCTGCTCTGAAAAAGAAGCAAATTTGCAATGTTCGTGAAGCTTCACGCATTTACAATGTTCCGCGGACAACACTTCAGCGGCGATTAAA